TGGCTGAGGAATTCTGGGAGTTGAAGTCCACAAGTCTTAAAGTTGCCAAGGTTGGACACCCCTGGATTAAAGGGTCATAAAAAGAAAAGAAAAGGGGAAAAAAGTGTTTTTCTACCCAAAAGGTGGCAGGCAGCAACCATTGTTTTCCACAAACTGAACGGTCATAACTTCAGTGTTCTCCATAAAGATTTTTTCTCCACCTCTTCATATCCTTTTACCGGATTTCCCGGAGCAGAACCCCTGTAGCCCTAAAATAACTCAGCAAGGATGGAGAAGAGATACTGGAGGCCGGTTTCATCCCGGAATGAAATCTATCTCTTGCTCAGAGGTGCCAACAGCTGTGGAACCAAATCCCTATCCTATAGTGGGCAGGGGAGATGGAAAGAAGAGAATGCAAAGAAGGTTGGCTTCTTAACACCAGGTTAAGCCTCTCTCTTTTTTCCCCCTGAAACAACTGGTCTATGATCTTAGACGGCTCAGTGACAAATGGTGACAGGAAGGTGACACCGTTTAGAAGTGCCACATCTTGCGAGGTGACATCACTAGTGTTGTTTCTAGTGCGTCTCACACCAGTGCTTCTAAAAATAATCTTTCCTACCTTCTTCACACGGGAGAACTATGGCAACCCACCATGCATCAGCAGACAAACCAAGTTAGGGCCTTAGACGTCCTTATATAACTGTGTCGTAGTGATGGAGCACCCAATGCTCGCATCCTCTTCAGTGCATGAATTCAAGGATTAGAAACGACACCGAAAAGCTGGCTCATTTGCATGCAGTTCTTTTTAATTACATTATCCAGGAGGCAAATCCCACCTTTGCGCGTGGAAAGGAACAATGCTCCGTGTTCTATTTCTATGAAACCAACCTGTTGACTCCAGAAGTTCCAGTCCTGTTTCTCTGGTTCAGGCCTACCTCTTAGCCTCTAGATTGCCTTCACAAGGTCTGGAGTCATTTTTAAGCCAAGGCTGATTTTGTGGTTTGAGGAGGATCTCTGGACAAGAAAAAGTCTAAGGAGAATAACAGAGTTGGAAGGGACCTTGGCGGCAGGGGTGGGATTCTACAGGTTCGCACCTATTCGCTAGAACCGGTTGTTAACATTCTAAGCAGTTCAGAGAACCGGTTGTTAGAAGAAATTACTGGCCTAATCCTGTAAGGAAGGCAGGAAGGAAACATTCTGGTGTTGCTTACAGAAACTGCCTCTCCGTTAACCCTTATTACATTCTTGGTAGGACTAGACTTCCTGTCTCAGGAACTTCTCTGGAGTTTTTTCCCCTCCTTTGCTGGTACTTTGCTTGTGTGGAGTGACCATTCAAAGTTACAATGGCACTGAAAAAAGTGACTTATGACCGTTTTTCACACTTACAACTGTGCAGCATCCCCACAGTCATGAGAGGCCAGGCGAGGAGATGCGTGCCTCGACGTGAGTGATATTGAGTTGGCCATGCCCAGCCAGTCACATGACCACCAAGCCACGCCTACCAATTAAGAACCGGTTGTTAAAAAATTTGAATCCCACCCCTGCTTGGTGGTCTTCTAGTCCAACTTTCTGCTTTGGCAGGAAACTCTATAGCATTTCAGACAAAACACTGTCCAATCTCTTCTTAAAAACCTCCAGTGTGTGGAGCACCCACAAATTCTGGTGGCAAGTCGTTCCACTGATTAATTGTGCTCACTTGTCAGGAAATTTCTCCTTAGTTCTAGGTTGCTTCTCTCCTTGATTAGTTCCAGGGGTGGGGCTGCTGGGGGTTTGCAGGGGTTCAGGAGAGCCCCTATCTAAGATTCTGTACAGTTTGGAGAAGCCCCCCCCCAAATCCAACTCTTGACTGGCCTCACCCACCCCTCCCCTCCCCTCCCCGGAGTTCCCACACAGCTCATTTGGGATGCAGGTAAGCGCAGGGTGTGCACAGAGGCTCAGGGAGGGCAAAAAACAGCCCCCCCCAGAAGTTCAGAAAGGAAATGGAACCATTTTTGGCTTCGAGAGAGCCTCTGGAGCCCGAGGAATCCGTTTTCACCCTCCCAGAGTCTTGAAGAAAGCCTCCGGAGTCTGGGGAGGGCAAAAACACCCCCTCCCGCTGTGGTGCAGGAGGCCAACTAGGCCACGTCCAACTATGCAGCAACCAGGCAGAGAACCCTTTGCTACAATTTTTGAAGCCCACCCCTGATTAGTTTCCATCCGTTGCTTCTTCCCCTGCCTTGGGTTGCTTTGGAGAATACGTTGACCCCCCTTTTCTTTGGGGCAGACCCTCAAATATTGGAGCACTGTTATCCTGTCACCCCTAGTTCTTCTTTTCATTAAACTAGACCTGTCCAATTCCAGCGACCGTTCTTTATATGTTTTAGCCTCCAGTCCCCTAATCGTCTTTGTTGCTCTTCTCTGCACCTTTTCTTAAGAGTCTCAACATCTTCCTTCTAATGGTTATATTTTGGCCTGCATTTCTTTTCGGAGCTCATTTGTACACCTCTTCCTAGGAGAAATATTTCTTCTACTTGTGCTCAACTCTTGGTGCTTTCCACGAGAGAGATTAAAAAAATAAATAAATCAGAAAGTTGCACAGATGAATATCAGTCTAAATGATTTTCTCGCTCTTTGTAGGTCCCTTAGAAACACGTTTATTGAAAGGAAAACGTCTCCTGCGCAAGTGTAGTTTTCCCTAGTTGTGTCAATATGATTGGAAGAAACGGATTGAAGTTTAGCTGTCTGACATCCCAAGGTCAAATCCAGACCCCACCTACCCCCAAACCTCAGAACAGCCCCAAGAGACCTCCAAAGGCTAATCGCAAGTGGTAATATTTAATGGGGTATGGGAGAATTATCCCCAAACGGTTTAAGTAGAAAATTGCAGGTGATGATTAGTGATGGAAATTACATTTTGTTTTTTTCCCCTGGCCCCCTTCAAATTACTGGCTTGTCATTCCTGGTCAAGTTCAGCCTTTAGCTTAGGAAAGAGTTGTCTATCTTAGTTGCAGAGCCCAGAGTTGGACTAAAACATTTTGATGCTGGCTAAAAATGCCGTATGCATGGAGGGATATATTCAATCAGAGCTGACCATGTTGGGAAGAGGACCAAATCCTTATTTTGCAGGTGACATTGTGGGCAAAGTGCTACAAGCACTTTCAATCTGCTTCATGGCATTACATTCAGAGATGGTATTCAGCCGGTTCTGACCAGTTCTGGAGAACCAGTAGCAGACATTTTGAATAGTTCGGAGAACCGGCAAATACCACCACTGGCCCCGCCCCCATCTCTTCTCTGCCTCCCGAGTCCCAGCTGATCGGCTGGGTCTTGTTTGGTTGCCCTGCACAGAAGAACGGAGCTGGAAAGCAGGTTAGTGGGGTGGGGAGGGAATGGGATTTTGCAGTAACCTTCCCCTGCCACACCCACCAAGCCACATCCACAGAACCGGTAGTAAAAAAATTTTGAATACCACCCCTGTATCCTTAATATGATACTTCTGTGTGTTCCTAGCAGTCACCCTACTGAGCAACCATGTTGAACAAAAGAATAACAGAGTTGGAAGGGACCTTGGAGGTCATCTAGTCCAACCGCCCACCAAATCTCTGATAGATGGTAAGCCCAGTCTCTTCTTGAAAGCTTCCAGGGATGACGCTCCCACAACTTCCGAAGGCAACTTCTGTTCCATTGGTTGATTGTTCTCACTGTCAAAAAATTTCTCCTTTATTTCCAGGTTGAATCTCTCCTTGATCAGTTTCCATCCATTCTTCCTTGTCTGGCCTTCAGGTGCTTTGGAAAATAGCTTGACCCCTTCCTCCTCTCTGTGGCAGCCCCCCCCGTCAAATATTGGAACATATCATGTCTCCCTGGTCCTTTTCTTCACTAGGCTAGCCAAGCCCAATTCCTGGTTTGAATAACGCACTTAGGAGCTGGAGCTGCAAAAGGTGCTAAGACTGCTTAGGAATTTTTTGGGGAGGGGGGGGGATTTCTCACACTTGTGAGTTCAGCGTCTTGTGCAAAGGTGCAAAAATTAGGCCTCCTGTACCCTCGTTAAATGCCTTGTATGAAACCAAGGTGAGGAGCTAAATTTCTGGCTGAATGTGTGTGTGGTTTCCTTGTATCCACCAAGAGATGGGAATTATAATCCAGTGGCTTTGATTGACATCGAATTGATCTGTTCTTGGTATGCAGCCACCTGAGCGTTCGTTTTTCCAACTCGCGTGGGTGGGTGCTGAATGTGTATATATGATCATGCGTAAAACTGGAAAACTATCGTCAGTGTGCCTGGCCACAGAGCACCACTTGATCCTCCAACGGCTCTCCGGCAGGTGCTATAAAAGTCATGTAATTAAGAAATAAAAATAAATTGGAGCCCAGCACCAGGTTGCAGCCTGAATTAAATACCAAGAGCGGAGTTAAAATAAATGTTTTTCTCTTACTAAGGCGAAGGATATGAGTAAGAAAATGCCACACAGCACACCCTATAATTATCAGTCTTTGCAAACATCCTCCAGGTTTTGATGCATCACCGTTCTGGGCACTGGGACCATGACAGTATACCAAGGTCAATAAAGAGAGGATTGTTGTTTGATCGAATATCGGGGAAATATTTATTTTTCCACCCAGGCAGATGGGGTGTGGAATCACAGTCAACCAAGGAACAGCTGCAAAGATGGGCTTCTTGTGTTTAGCACTAGCACTTAGACTTATATACTGCTGCACAGTGCTTTCCAGCCCTCTCTAAGTGGTTTACAGAGTCAGCCTCCTGTCCCCAACAATCTGGGTCCTTATTTGACCAACCTCAGAAGGCTGGAAGGCTGAGTCAACCTTGAGCCAGTGAGAATTGAACTGCTGGCAGTGGGCAGAGTGAGCCTGCAATACTGAACTCTAACCACAGGGAGGGAGGGAGGAAGATAGCAATAGCACTTAAGACTTACATACTGCTTCACAGGGCTTTACAGCCCTCTCTAAGCGGTTTACGGAGTCAACATATTACCCCCGACAATCTGGGTCCTCATTTTACTAACCTTGGAAGGATGGAAGGCTGAGTCAACCTGGAACCGGTCAGGATCAAACTCCTGGCAATGGGCAGAGTTAGTTTGCATGCTGTATTCTCACCACTGTGCCAACCTGGCTCTTTGTCTAATATTTTGTGTTTTAGGAAAAATAATAGAGGTCTTGAACCACAATCCTGGCTTCGTGGCTGGTAGCAATGAATGTTAGGATCCATACTTGAGTATCACGTGGAAATGGTACCCACATAGGTGTCAAAGGAGACAAGATGGTGATCAAAGCATAAGTGAAGCTCCACCCCCTTTTTAAAGATGGGTTGACATCATAGGCATAGATCCAGGGATGGGGCTTTGATTGTGATGTCACAATTGCAACCCGGCTCCTTTTGACATCCCACAACAGAGGCTGCTGATGTCCCACCCACTTATTTTTGGTTCCCCAAAAATCACGAGAGAAATGTCCTAAAGGTGCTTTTTCCAGAAGACAACTGGACTTCCCTTGAAAGCATTTTGCTTCTTACCCAAGAAGCTTCTTTGTTCTGAGGTACAGAATTTATGTATGTATGTATGTATGTATATATGTATGTATGTATTTATTTATTTATTTAATTTTGTCAAGCGATTATTAGATAACAGGTATACATATAAACATGGTAATAAATATATGAAATGGATATGAATAAGAAAAAAAAGAAACAACAGGACAGGGATGGTAGGCACGTTGCTTCGCTTTTGCATGCCCCCTACAGACCTCTTAGGAAAGGGGTGAGGTCAATAGTAGGCAGTCTAAGGTTAAAGTTTTTGGGGTTTGGGGAAGATACCACAGAGTCAGGTAGAGTATTCCAGACATTGACCTCTCTGTTGCTGAAGTCATATTTCCTGCAATCAAGTTTGGTGCGGTTTACCTTGAGTTTGTATCTATTATGTGCTCTTGTATTGTTATGGTTGAAGCTGAAGTATTCATTGACAGGTAGGACATTGCAGTATATAATTTTATATACTATACTTAGATTGGACTGAAGGCGGCATAGTTTTAGGTTTTCTAGGTCTAGAATTTCGAGTCTGGTGGCATAAGGTATTCTGCAACGAGCAGAGAAGTGGAGAACTCTTCTTGTGAAATATTTCTGGACTTTCTCAACTGTGTTAATATCAGATACATAATGCGGGTTCCAGTGATTAGCTGTATTCAAGTATTGGTCTAGCAAATGTTTTGTATGCTCTAGTTAGTAGCGTGATATTACCGGAGAAAAAGCTACGCAGGATTAGGTTTACAACTCTTAATGCCTTTTTAGCTATGTAGTTACAGTGGGCTCTAGCACTTAGATCATTTGAGATGAGTACTCCAAGGTCCTTGACAAAGAATGGAAGAATCTTCTTGGATGAGCAGTGAAACATTTTCAAAGAAAAGAAAAAAACAAAGAAAATCTATTTGTCATTTGGAAAAAGCATTTTTGGGACAATCATGGTGGAGGACTGAGAATCTCCACAGACATTTCCCCAGAGGTGTATTTTCTGAAAGTACATAGCAGATTGTAAAGCTGAGTTATCCACCGTTCATTTTTCAAAAAAAGAAAGAAAGAAATAGAACAATATTACCCAACATTATTCTTTCCTTAAAGAAAAGAACCTCATTTTGTTCTCATATAAAACTCTTGCCTCCGTGTGATGTAATTATAGATAGGTGGAGAGACAGATGGACACAGACATGTAACCAGAATGATAAACTCTTGCTCTCGTTCCATTTTATCACAAAAGACTCTTCCAATTTTTGATGCAGATTGGAAAAACTCTGCCAAAATTCCTCTGGGGATTTTGTCAGATAAAATAACCAAAAAGGTGAAGGGATAAATTAAATGTATTCATCTATGACAGGTCATCTGTCTTCCACAAGACCGGATGGCGGGATGGTTCACCGCAGTCCATTCCTTAAAATAATACAAAGAATTAAATAGAAAGGAAAAGAAACAACCAGGGTGATTTCATAGAAAAGACACATAATTGGTGGCCTGAGCATCCCAGCTCAAACCAACACACCTACCTTGTAGAAAATCTTCTTCACTCAAGCATTTAAAACATTTCTCCCCAAACCTGTTTCTCTCTTCTTTCCTCAAAGAACTGATTCAGTTTTGAATTATGAAATTTTGGCACCTGACAGGTGAAGGGTGAGGTGAAAAATCTGACCTAAGAGATGTTTTGCACAAAAAGAAAAGAAAAAAACAAAACAGAAACAAGGAGGGGGAAAAAAAACAAACCCAGGTAGCTGTTTAGGAAGAACGTGGATCTTTAATTCTGTCCGATGTGCAACTGAAAGCAACTGTGCTTTTTAGACAAGGACGGGCTAACAACTAATGGAAATTCTGGTTAAAAGAGGTTTTATTGGATTGTCATTGAAGTCCAGTTTTGGAAGGAGGAGGGTTGGCCTCCCTGGGACAAGAGCATTGATTTGCAGAAATGGGATGGCCAAATTGGCCTGATCTTTCAACGCTCCAAAATCGATATCAGTCTGGCTAATTTTATCCCAAGGACAAATCTACAATGAGGTTGGTATCACTCACATGCGGCTTCCCATGCTTTTATTATTGTCATTTCAGTGGAAATTAAGGCAGCCATGCGTTCTGGCGAGGCCGATTAATTATATTATGATGGAATTATTCCTCTACCCTCTCTCCTCTTTTTATCTCTGCTACACGTCTGTAATATAGGCTGGGTGAAATGAGAACATTATCTATGCAAGATGTAGCCAGAATAGAGCTGGAAGGGACTTTGGAGGTCTTCTAGCCCAACCCAACACCATTTCACAAAAATAGCTGTCTGGTCTCTTCTTAAAAGCTCCAGTGATGGAGCACCCATAACCTCTGAAGTCAAGCCATTCCACTGGTTGATTGTCCTCACTGTTATGAAGTTTCTTCTTAATTCCAAGTTGTTTCTCTCCTTGATTAGTTTCCATTCCTTGTTTCTTGTCCTGCCCTTTGGGGCTTTGGAAAATAAGTTGACCCTCTCTTGTTTGTGGCAACCTCTTAAATACTGGAATACTGCTATCATGTCACCCCTAGTTCTTATTTTCTCTAGACTAGCCATACCCAAATCCTGCAACCGTTTTTCATAGTCAGTGTTGGAAGCAGTAGATGGAGGATTTCTGTTGGTTTTCTGAAACTGCTTGCTCTCCGATATGGGGGAAGCTTCTCATGCTGAAAGATCAGCAATCATGTGAGATGATTTCTGTACATAGCATGGCAGAAGGACAACGTCTTGGCTAGTGTCTAAGGCAGCAACCGGTCATGAGTTCCTTCCTGTCATTGAGCCTTATGATGAGAGGCTGAGAAATAAACAGAAGAACCTTTTGATAGGAACAATCAACCAAGCGAAGAGCTTATTAGAAGCTCATTTAATAAAAGGCAGCTCAATCCAGGTTGTAGAAAACGTGGGAATAAGATATTCACAACTTTGAAGACGACTGTACCTTGATGAACTTCACTTAATGAATGTACTAATATAGAATGGCTGGAGGCTCTTATCACATTTTCCAATATTTTGTACCTTACCTCTAATGCTTGCGTTCGAACTCATCAGGGAAGCATCTCTGCTTCTTGCTTCCTTGGCTGAGTCATGGTCTAAGGTGATTGACAGTTGACAATGAGACCCAAATGTCCTTGGTCATGGATAATTCCTGTTTGTTAAGAGAAATGGGCTGAAATAGTGATTGGTGAAGAAAGCTCGCTAGGCTTTAAGCCAAGAAGAGATCCTTCACTTTGACCAAGTCTTGAACAAAGTGTAGCCTCCTTCCTTCTACTTTACAACTGTCATTTGCAAGAACGAATCTGTTGTGCTTATATATCTCTATCTCTCATCATCTCCTTTTAATGACCTCATAATTCCTTGCAGGGTGGAGTCAGGCAACTTAATGGAGCAGAGTGTTTACTGGCCGGATGGCCTTCCTATTGCCAATGTGGAATTTTATTCAGCAGATAAATTCTCATTGTGCCCAGAGAGAAATATCTGCCTGTACCTAGGATTGAACTCACAGCCTCCTGATTGTGAGGCGAGAGATTCCACCTCTAGGTACCGCTCTACCTACCTACCTACCTATTATCTATCTATCTGTCCATCCATCCATCTATATCATCTATTTATTTATTTGGTAGATTTAGATGGTTGCCCATCTCAAGTACAGCTAACATTATTACGTTGCTTCACTTCGGCCGTCCCTCAAGGAGTCTGTGAAATACCCAGGAGAGATTTCGAAGCATCAAGCAAAGGATGTTTGACTCCTCTTAATAGAAATTGGTTCAGTTTAAATAGAGAGGATGTTTCCATTCCCCATCTCTTATTGTCCTCTGTGATGCAAAGTTTGATTCATGTACCAAACAGGCAGGTTTCACATCCAAGCGAGTTAGGTGATTTATAACAAATATGATAGGGATGATTTATGGAGGAACAGTGCCAGCGGAGGGCAATTTACCCTGAAATACAGGTGACTTTACATCACAAATGTAAATTGTTTGAAGAGTCATTCCTCTGGAAGAACCACGGTTTCTAGTTTCATGGGAAAGCGAGAAAGACATGAAACCAAACCATTTCAGCAACCGAATTTAGATATTTTCTCCTGTAGGCCTCAGCAAATTCCTTTTCTCTCAATTCCTTCTAGTTTTTTTTTTTTTAAAGAAAACATCCCTCCCCCCCCATACACTCCCATTGTTAAAATTGTGCAAATAGTGTTTTCTAAAATGCACGAGGCCCAGTTTTATAGCTTACTTTGCTATTTTCATGTTTCCTGCCTCAAAACTGTTGCTGGTTTTTGTTTTGTTTTTTTGTTTATTCCAACAACTTTGTTTTTATTTCCAACTTTTGGAAACGTTGGTGTATTTGGGGACAGGAGACTTAGCTTTGTCTCAGTCTGGAGATCTTTATGGTTGAACAAGATCACCACAGCTGCATTCTCAGAGGAGAACTGTGTTAGTTTATGATAGCAAACAATCTGGAAAGTGTCAGGTGCTCGCACCTTTTCTAACGCCTTTTTTATTTAAATCCTTTTAATAAAATTTGTTCCTTGGAAAAAGCACTACAAGATACTTTACTGGACTGCAGCGGCTTCTGACAGACCCCATGGCTTCATCCTTCCTTCCCATTGCTCCAAATTTACACCCAATAACCAAGTGCCTTGCCTCACGTTATGGAGAGTGTTCTTAAACTGCAGAGGTGACATTCAGCAGGTTCTGACCAGTTCTGGAGAACCGGTAGCGGAAAGTTTGAGTAGTTCGGAGAACCAGCAAACCCCACCTCTGACTGACCCCACCAACCCCATCTATCCTCTGCCTCCCATTGAGTCCCAGCTGATCGTCTGGGTCTTCTTTGGTTGCCCTGCACAGGAGAACAGAGCTGGAAAGCAGGTTAATGGGGTGGGGAGGGAATGGGGATTTTGCAATATCCTTCCCCTGCCACGCCCACCAAGCCACGCCCACCAGAACTGGTAGTAAGTTTTTTTTTAATCCCACCACTATTAAACAGATATCCCTTATTTCACAAGAAATAAAATATTTCCTCATTCAGATGGAATGGTCATTTGAATAGTTTCATGGCTGATGTAGGCTCCTCATCCCAGAAGGCTATAGAGCTCCAAGTGTGTCTCGCCAAACATTTTAATTCTTCTTCCTTGATACCTGCAGGTGGCTTTTAGCTTGCATGTCTTCCTGTTTTTCTGTTCTCCATGGTGGCGACTCTCCACCCTGGGCTTCAAAACACAAAAGCGGATTCAGCATTTGGGTTCCTGTGAAGACATTGTTTTGGTGGAATTTCAGGATGTGAGGTGGAATCTCGTCAAGCATTTCCTCCAGTGAGAACATAGATGATCGCCTTAAACTGAAGGCAGTGAGACGCTGCCATTTTCTAAGCCTCTGCTGCTTTGGTCTAACACTTCTACATCCACCAGACCTCATATCACTGCCATGAGATACACTAAAATGACTGTTCCCTTCAAGTTACAACATCATTTGACCACAAGTAAGCTCAGCTTATAGGAATATCAGCTGTGTGGCGATTAGTAATGACCATCAGTTGACTCCCTCAACCCTGATAAAGTGATAGACAAGTGAAGTTTTGTGAAAGGGGACATGACCCTTAGCATCCACAATGGCAATGGATATCAAATAGACGTATCAGATGATGGCCCATGTTCTGTATTGTTCATTAGCATTCTTGTAAACACCGCGCCCTGATTGGCCAGGGCGCATGGCAACCGGATTGGCTGAGCGAGCCGCACTGATTGGCCCCGCGATTGGTGAAAACCGATTGCGGGAGATTCAAAGCGGTGCCATTGGCCGCGGCCGGTGCGGCCAACTCAATATAAGCCGCAGCCGATCCGGAAAACCCCGAGTTGATCTTGGGACTAATAAAGAGCTGAAAATTAGTCACTGACTCCCGAGCCTTCTTCGAGCGCCTACACAACAGCCCATACCCTTCTCTTTTCCTGTGGCCCTTAACTTTCTTCTCCTCTCTGATCTTTACCATCCTTTACCAAGGATTTCCTGAAACGATCTTCTGGATAGTTTCATGGCTGATATAGTCTCATCCCAGAAGAATATAGAGCTCCAAGTGTATTTCCCCAAACACTTTACTTCTTCTTCCTTGATACCTGCATGTTGCTTTTAGATTGCATTCAAAAACTCTTCACAGACTTCTGATTTACTTATTTTTATTTTCCAATCAGCCAAGATTCCTTCATCTACTTAAACCAGTGGTTGCCAACTGGTGGGCCGCAAGAAAATTTTGGTGGTCCACAGAGAAATGTCACCCCCAAAGCACCCCCCCCCCCCCAAAGCAACTAATCCAGGCTGCACTGGAACTGCGCCGCCCACATGGCCCATGGGAACACATGGCTTGCATTGCTTGCATTGAGAACAACATGAGGTAGTGAGGGGAGGAAGGAAAGGGTGGGGGGGGGAACTCACCCCACTCACCTGATGCACCTGTCCTGGGCTGCTTCTTTCTGCTTCTTTCTTCTTCTGCTTTTGGCTGCACGCAAGGAAAGCAGCAAAAGTCTTTCTTTCTCTCCCCCAAACTCCACCAGAAATGAGTCTTTGGGACCCTGCAAGGCCTCCTGCTCCAAGAGGCTGAGCCGGCAAAGACTCAATTCTGGCGGAGTTTGGGGGAGAGAAAGAAAGACTTTTGCTGCTTCTGCTGCTTTCCTTTCATGAACCCAAAAGTCTCTCTTTCTCTCTCCCTCTCTCCCGCTCTCCCTCTTTCTCCCCTCACCTCTCCCACCAACATCAGCTAGCCACCGTCAGTCAAAATTCATATTAGTGGTCTGCAGGATTTAAAATTATGAGTTTGGTGGTCCCTGAGGTCCAAAAGGTTGGCAACCCCTGATTTAAACTGACTAACAATTTTATTCCTCCCCGAGAAATGTCCTTCTTGAGTTGGCTTGCCCGAGACCAACCAAAGCAAAGGCCATGATGGGGGTTGATTTTTACGAAGAAAACAACATTCTCAGCAGTCATTGCAGATTGAATTAGAGGCAAGTGCTGCCAAAATTCCTCCTCTTCAAGGAATTTTTGGCAACTGCCTTCTCTGTGTACTTTTTTGGGGGATCTTGTGACTCTGACTAAATACATGACGTGACTTTGCTAGCATTGATATTTTTTGCTGCGTGCGCTTCAAGTTTTTTTTTTTTTTAAATCCTTTCTTAAATGCTAGTCTTGCTGAAACAAGATGTAGCAATGTAGGTTTCTCCTAGTCAAATGAGTTCTGGCAGATACCAAAAAATATCATAAGATTCTTCTTAGCTGTTTTTTTTTCTCCAAACAGAAAATAACTGAAACAAGGTTATTTTAAAAGCAGAAACTCCTGTTTCAAAGTTAACCAGAGGTTAACTTTCTCTTTGTGAAAGACAAAGGCCTTTCTTTTGAAGACAATGAAATCCACATTGTGGACAGAAGATGATTTGAAAGAGGGGTCAAAGAGGCCATCTACATTAATATTGAACAGCCCTCTCTCAAGGGTGTGTGTGATACAATACCACCTATCTCCTGTTTACCTTTCTGCAGTCCCAGGAAGTTTGCACACTCATTTGCACTATTCCGGTGAGTCTGAAGGCACAGATCAACCTCCAGGTGGCCTCAATGACTCCTAGAAAGAGTGCTAATGATCAGATGACTGCAAGGAATATAAATCCTCCATCATTCAGTCAAAACTGAAGAAGCTTCTTGGATGAGAAATGAAATGTCTTCAAGGAAAAACAAAGAAAGCTCAATTGTCTTTTGAAAAAGCACCGATGGGACAACCATGACCAGGATGTCTAAGAATCTCCATAGACATTTAACTAGAGGCTGTGGGACATCTGGGGTGTCAACTCATAAAACATTTCTATGCCAATTTTAAGGTTGCCAACAGAAAGGAGGGGGGAAGGAGTTTGAAAGAGTAGTGCAGCAGTTTGGAATCGAAAGTGCATTCCATTCATAACTTGCAGAGATTGTAACTAGGCGACTGGAGTTTCTGCTGCACAAATCACTAATTGGAGTACATGATTGATGACTCTTGGCAATGAATGTGTTTCAGTTGGAGAATATGAATTATGATGCACCCAAAAAGGTGGGGGGAAACCAGGGTCAAGGGTGACAGTGAATTACGTGTCTCAGAATCGGCTTCAACCAGATCCTGCTGACATGTTCACTCCTAATAAATTCATTATAGGTTTTGAAGTTTGGCTCCAGGCTGATGATTTAATTAGGGCAACTGCTGGAATCCTGAGAGGGGGCTAGTTTCGTTTGTTGTGAATCACTCAAGTGAAGATGCAAAAGTCTATGGATCTTCTTATATCAATGACTTTCGGGAACCCATGCATGCTCAGTCATAGGTGAAAACCACGGCTCTTCGGAATAACCAAGTTGTAAAGGGGTATCCAGAGTTCAATTTTTACCGTTCACAGTCAACATGGTTGAGGGATGTTGTGAGTTGAAGCCCAAAGGATCTATGGAACTCAAATTAGGGAAGGTTTAATTTGAATATCTGTACTGAGTCGGTAGTTGAGCTTCATATTCTAAAATATGATTTTTCTCAATTCAACGATTTTCAGTTTTTTTTCAAGTTGCAAAAATTTATAGCAGAAATGACATGTTGGAAGGGTCAAAACCATTGATTATGTTGGCTAAAGCTGCTGGAAGTTATAGTTTAAATTTTATTTTGAGAAAAAGGAAAATCATCAGAAAGGCCAAGGGGAAACGAGAAAGAGAGAGGGAGGGAGGGAGGGAGGGAGGGAGGGAGAGAGAGAGAGAGAGAGAGAGAGAGAGAGAGAGAGAGAGAGAGTAGTGTTGGAGTAGTGGGCATGTGGACTGATTAACAATAACTTAGAGAATGAATAAATGGAATAGTGCAATTATAAAAAATGAGGCAATTTTTGGTGACATACTGCCAAGCCAAGAAAGTGCAATGAATACTAAGCAGAAAATTTCACACTGCGATGTATATTGCTAGTCAGTTGATGATGTATGAATGTTCTTCTTTTTGGTATTCCTCATCTCATCTTCCTTCTGCTTTCTGTTTCCAGTTTTCCTCTAACGTAAGCAACATTTTAATTCCTCTAAATTTCTTGGGATATTTTCAGTTTGACCAACTGCATACATTGCTTCCTCCATGTTTCTTCACAGAAAAAAAAAAGCATAACATTCAATAAGCTTGTCCTCGGGGTTTGTTACTCCACAGAGCCTGAAGGAGGTAGAAGATGTTTTGGTTCCCATAATTGGATCCAGGAGTATCCATATTTCTATTTCTATTGGTCCCAAGAACTTTCGTGATTGAATAAGAGAACGAAGAGAAAATATTACCAGCATAAAATCCACTCTCCCCCTTTCCAGCCACAATTATTGATCACTATCTGATTATTCCCGAAAAAGTTGCTATCCTTATTTGCAGGAATACAGGGAGTCCTCAACTTATGACCATAATCAAGCCCAAAATTTCTGTTGCTGAGAGAAACATTTGTTAAGTGAATTTTGCCCCATTTTTTGACCCCATTTTATGACCACAGTTATGAATCACTGCAGTTGTTAAGTTAGTAACATCGCTGTTAAGTGAATTTGGCTTGTCCCTTGGTTGTTGCTTGGTGATAGGTCCCCCACCATTAAACCATCTTTCCAAACAGCCTCCATGTTTCCAGTGTCTTTTTCCCCACTTGGAACACTGAACCCAGAAGGATATTTCTTCCCACACATCCAAAGCAAGAAAGCATCCACTAAGTGTTCTCTCTCCAAACTGGGCACCTCGAAAACTTGTGGACTTCAATGCCTAGAATTCCTTAGCAGGAATGGCTGGCTGAGGAATTCTGAGGAATCCATAAGTCTTCAAGTTGCCAGGTTTGGAGAGCCCTGGGATAGACCAACAGGTTTTAGCCAATTCTCAAATCTCGCCCTGCCCTTGGGCAAATATTTTGCAATGTTGTGTTTGAAAGGAAGCCTGACTCTCAGCTGATAATCACGATCTTCTTCGGTGACATGAATGATATTGCAGAAGAGAGCCAAACCCATATTTCCAAAGCAGCCCAATCGCTGACGGGCACAAGGAGTATTGGGCTCTGGAGGAGCAAACAGAGAAAGAGAAACACCAAATTTATCTACTGCCCGAAACAGAATGGACCTGGAGGTTGGTTGCTGTTTGCTCCAATGTGAAATGGCCAAGAGTTGCTAGGCTGTTCCCACCCTTTAGAACAGTGGTCGTCAACTGTTGGTCCAACTGTTGATCCAACTAATGGTCCATGAGAAAATTTTGGTGGTCCGGAGAGAAATGTCCCCCCCAAAGCAATTAATCCAGGCTGTGCAGAAATACAAGGCTGTGGCCTGCCACATGGCCTGCCACCTGCTGGCCTCCACCCTTCAGCCAAGTGCAAACCTTACCTTGAGTAGAACCACATGAGCTGGAACTGGAAGGTATGACCAATGACAGGGGAGGGAAATCTGCCCCGGGGTGGCATATTCCAGAGCTGCAGGAGTCACAGGATTGGCTCTTTGGTCATCCCAGAGCAGCTCCTCTAGTCCATGGCAGGCTGGTACACCCAGGTGGAGGATTATGTGGGTGTTGGTCTACAATGTCCCCTTCCTCTCTGCAAGTCATCCTTCCTTGAAGATGAGCAAGGTGCAAGGAAAGCCAGAATGTCAGGAAAGCTCAGACACATAGCACTGAAGATGTCTCATGTTGGATCCCAGCTAAGAGAAAGTGGATGGTGTTTTAAGACCAAATTGTTTTGATATGAATTGGACTGTTGATGGTCTTTTCCAGGATTTTCTGGCCAGTTCACGATAGGCAGATGGACAACAAAGAGCTTCAAGGGATGTTATCTCTTACGGATTAACAGAGTTGGAAGGGACCTTGTAGGTCATCTAGTCCAAACCTCCCACCCAAGCAGAAGACCCTACACCATTTCTGACAAATGGCAGTCCAGTCTCTTCTTGAAAGTCTCAAGTGATGGCGCTCCCACAACTTCTGAGGGCAACTTCTGTTCCATGAGTTGATGGCTCTCACTGTCATAAAATCTCTCCTTATTTCCAGGTTGAATATCTCCTTATTCAGTTTCCATCCATTATTCCTTGTCTGGCCTTCAGGTGCTTTGGAAAATAGCTTGACCCCTTCCTCCTCTCTGTGGCAGCCCCTTAAATATTGGAAGACTGCTCTCCTGTCTCCCCTGGTCCTTCTCTTCACTAGACTAGCCAGGCCCAGTTCCTGCAACTGTTCATCGTATGTTTTAGTCTCCAGTCCCCTAATCATCTTGGTTGCTCTTCTCTGCACTTTTTCTAGAGTCTCAACATCTTTTTTATAGTGTGGTGACCAAAACTGGATGCATATTGACTGTTTCCTAGTATGATTTGATTGTTGATTGTACCCTATGACTATCATTAAGTGTTGTATGTTATGATTCTTGATTCTTAACAAATGTATCTTTTCTTTATGTATACTGAGAGTATTTACACCAAGACAAATTCCTTGTGTGTCCAATCACACTTGGCCAATAAAGTATTCTATTCTGTTCTATTCTGCTCTAGGTGTGGTCTTACTAAGACTTTATAGAGTGATATTATCAACTGCTTCCCAGCAGACTCACGGGTCACACCTCCAGCCACACATTTAAATCCCAGCATTCTTGGCATGAATCGGTCCTGATGTTGCAATAAATAAATAAAAAATCTGATGAATGAAGCAAATGGATGAATGACGGGCAGGGCATGAAAATGGAAAGTGAAAATGCACCCAGCACGGTCCTGGAGTCCTGGAGAATGCAACGAGAATTGTGAGTCATCTCGCCAAGAAAGGGGTATTTTGTTTTATGGAGGGATGCTGCCCTTCCACACTTGTCTTGCAATGAAGTACATGATGTCATCGGGAGAGTGAACTTACACTTCGGCTCAGAGGAATTTGTCAATATTTGAAAGGCAGGCTGCCAAGATATTGCTTTCAACACAGTGTTTGGACACAAGAAGTGGGAAAAGAATGCTAGGAGACAAGGCAGGCCTATTTTAGATGCAAGTAGTCATCCTCACCTTAACAACAGTTCATGTAGCGACTGTTCATACAACGGGTACTGGAAAAAAAACTGACTTATTTTTCACCCTTATTACCTTTGTAGCATCCCCAGAATCATGTGATCAAAATTCAGACCCTTGGCAACTGCTCCATACTTATGACCATTGTTGTGTCCCAAAGTCATGCGATCACCTTCTGTCAAAGTCACTTAACAACCGTTGTGAGCAGCTGAACCACTGTGACAAGGGCAAAATGGGGCAAAGTCACTCAGCAACAGAAATTTTGGGGTCAACTGTGGTCATAAGTTGAGGTCTATCTATCTATCTATCTATCTATCTATCTATCTATCTATCTATCT